ATAACAATCGAGAAGGGTGGTTTTCCTTTTAAAGCAAAAACACGCATTCTTTCTCCCCATGATCATTCCTGTTGTCCCTGAAATACTGAAATATTGGGTGATTCCCGTAAACACAGATCTATGTAATATTGAATTAGAGTTCAGTCGTGCACACATAGAAGTATGTCTTTTTGACACAGAATCATAGATTTTTGGTTCAGGCAGGCGCTCGACAACCATAAGTATGCAAAAAAGACATACTTTTTTTTGGAATCGTGGATACAAACATTCTCAAGTCACGAGCAGGGGGAGCCAAAAATGGTGTGCCAAAACAAATCTAAAGTGTCACAAAATCATCAAGCGCGCCAAAACAAATCTAAAGTGTCAACATGGGGTTGGTTGGTGGGTTTAAGATCGAATGAAAAGATAGCTGTAGCTGCAGTACTAGCAGCATCAAATGGGCAACGTTGCTTGCTGACAGAAATTCTGGATCATTAAAAAAGGAACATCGACTTCCCCGACAACGCGCTGCAACCCCGACTCCCCCGACAACCATGTCCCTAGAATTCATCATCCTTTGTACAGCTCTCCACGAAGAGCTAGAGGACAAAGATAATATGTCTCCAGAGGAGAGACGCAGAAGGGACAGGAGAAACCCAAGGATTTCAATCAGGCGCTGGAATCAGTCTCCTTTCCTCCACTTGTTTGGTTCCGGCAATGAGCAGGCCCTCCTGAATTGTTGTGGTGTTGATCACGATGTCTTCCAAGGTCTCATGGAACTCTTTGCACCAGTATTCAACATGTACATGGTTGATGAAGCAACAKGGAAGATTAGAATGAGAAGCTTCCACAGGAATGGAATGCCAAAGGGACGCCATAGGGACTCAACAGCCTTGTGTTGTCTTGGATTGACCCTGCACTGGTTCAGGACACGGGGATCAGTAGCAAGAAGCCTCTCCATCGCATTTGGTCTTACTACATCCACAGTGCTCTACAAGTGGATCAAGTTCTCCAGGTGTGTCCTCCTATATGTCTTGCAAGACAATCCAGACGCAAGGATCCAAGCTCCTGCCAGAGAGGATATCGATGCTTATATTGAGGCTATTGGGGAAAAATACCCACTCCTTCAACAACAAAGAGTATGGGGCGCTGCTGATGGGCTGAAGCTTGGATTGCAGAAATCTTCGAACTGGGCAAAACAGAACATGTTTTACAATGGATGGACATGTGATACGTATGTTGGTAGTGTCTTCATCTTTGCTCCAGATGGCAAAATTAGAGGAACCATCTTCAACTGTCCAGGATCTTGGCATGATAGCACCATATCAGACTATGGAATATACCGGAGGATGGAGGAGATGTATGAGTTGTATGGAGCAAAGGTTGTTGTTGACTCCGCCTTCAACTTGACTGACAAGCAATATCTTCTTAGAACTTACCAGAAGGATCCAGATCTCCTTGCCAGCATCAACAACAATGTAGGCAGCAGCGCAAGCAACCTCGCTGCTGCCAACCTCACTGCTGCCAAACGTGCTGTAGCTGTCAATCGTCAAGCCACGTCACTCCGACAGCTGTCCGAGTGGGGAATGAGGATGATCCAAGGACAGTTCCCGCGGCTGAAGGATAGGATCAGGTATGAAGAGCAAGGTGAAAGGAGGATTCTCTTGCACACAGCAATCTTGCTGTATAATTATCAGGCCAGCACTGTAGGCATCAACCAGATCCTTAATGTGTTCATGCCCAATGAGCAATACAAAAGAGGCTTCTTCTCCCACCATACTGTGACAATCGACAATGATGCAAACAACTTGTTTTGGTGAGATAGCCGCAACAATGATACATCGATACATGACAGCAAGAACGACGTACGCAACACCGATGCTTAACACCGATACGTAACCTTGATACGCAACGCGATACTCAACAACAATACACATTCCCATGGTCAACACCCAACAACATGTACAGAAGAACAAGAAACCGACGATACAGTGCAGAAGAACAAACCGACGATACGGTGCGGAAGAACAAACCGATACGGTACGGAAGAACAAAGCAACACGATACGCAAAGAACACGCATACGATACAATTCCCATGGTCAACTTACCATTTGATTAGAACCACTAAACAAGTTTAAACTACTGTAATTCATACTGGTGGAGGCTTGAGCAACAAGGAAGTGAGCTGAGTGCTGTGCAGCAGTCGATGAGTGAGAGCAAAGCTACTACGTGTTACACCGTGTTAAGTTGGATTTTGTACACGATGCTCCGTGTTATTTGAACGTTGAACCGTTGAAGCGTTGGATTTTGTACACGATGCTCTGTGTTATTTGAACGTTGAACCGTCGTTGAAGCGTTGAATCACAAAGATTCCCTTATAAGGAGGCGGGAATAGAATCAATAAGAAATATACATTTTGAATATAATTAATAAAAACAATGCATGTTGGTTATCGCATAATGAAGCGGGAATAGAATCAATAAAAATATTCATTTTGTATATGACGAATAAAAGCAATGCATGTTGGAGTATCCTTAGGCGTCCGTTGACTTTGAAAATTTTCAAACTGTGTAGAAACAGTACTGAACAACACGAGCTAACGTGTACGAGTTATTCTAATCCTCCACTAACGCTGCAAACGCTTGGCTCCATAACGCAGCAGTCAGTATCAGTATGAACCAAATGGAAGATGGGAATTAGTAATGAATAAGATTAGATAAATTAAATGTAGTGAATAATTATAAACTCAACAATCGACAATGGGATTCATGGAATCCTCGGAATCATCGCTGTTGGATTCATGCGCCGCTGCCTAATCGGAATCCGAATCCTCGTCGGAATCATCGCTGCTGTTTCTGCGGCCAGCCTTTGGACTGAAGTGCTGCATGGCAATGGAGACAAGGGATCCAAGAGCGCTTCCAATTGCCTGGTAGGCCTCCTGTCTTTCCTCCCTGGCTCTCAAAGAAGCTCTCTCACGCTGTGCAACACAGTCCTGTAACGCTGTCACGATGTCACGCTTTGCAGTGGCTGTGTTGTACGAACACGGGGAGCACGGGGAGCTCTTCTGGGTGTAACAGCTCTTGCTGTTGCAAGTGGAACTACCTCTTCCTGCTGAGTAAGTTGAGAAACTCCTGTTTCTGGGGAAGCTTGTTGGAGTTCTAGCTGCTGAGGGGGTGGGTCGGCGTTGTTCTTGTCATGACTAACGTTGCCGCTGTTGTTGCCACTGCTGTTGTCACGACTAACATTGCTTCTGTTGTTGCCACTGCTGTTGTCACGACTAACATTGCCACTGTTTTTGCCGGTATTGCTGATTCCAGCAGAAGTAGCTCGATGATTACCCTCAGGATCGCCATCACAACCATCAGGATGGATATATCCTTCTTCAATATCAAAGTGCTCCTCTCCATCTCCAATATCTGCCTTCTCTCCAATCAAGCGCTTGGCCCTCTTGGCAAGTCTCACTGCCAAAGGACAATGAGGATCTCCAGTAGGGATGTTCTTCCTATGAAGGGATGCAAACTTCCTACGGATGGAGGGGACGTCCCTATTGGTGTAAGGATAGTTGTCAGCATGATTTGCTTCCACTTCATGCCACTGATCAGGTCCAATAGGAAGCTTTGCCAAGATCAAGTACATCAAGTCAATGGTTTCCTGAGTGGAATAGTTGCTTGTTCCTGATCTCCGACCTCCTGGTAGAGCTTGTTGCTGCTGCTGTGCGTTTCTTGTTAAAACCATCTTGTTGGTGGATCGACGTTGTTCTTTTTTGTGAGGAATTGATGCTGGAATCAACTCCGTGAACTACACGCATTTTGCTGCATTCCAACCAGTTCCTCCCCGGCGGAAGGGGGGGGGTTCTCGGGGTTCTCAGGGTTCTCAACTTTCTTAATTCCTGTTGACGTGAGGAGCCCATCAGGCTTCTTCCTTGTCTTCTTGGTCCTTTTAGTGAGGATGCGACCAGTTACTTCAGATTTTGTATAGTGAACTGGTTGTGGTGGTTCTCGTGGTTCACCTGGCTCGTTGGATTTGTTTTGGCGCGCTTTGTGACACTTTAGATTTGTTTTGGCGGGCTCCCCCGGCTTGCTGACACCATGTGTTCTCAATACTTTGTGTTCGAGAATTCAGTTATTTTCTGTTAATTTTAAGCAAAATTCCATATTCCAAAATTAAGCACATGTAGCGCGCCATAATTCAATATCTATGATTCTATGATTTTACATACTCATTCCCGTTGAGTCATAGACGCAAAGTATGTCAGCATAGATTCTATGTTTACGGGAATCACCCATTACCGTACCGTACGTACGGTAAAGTACTTACCTTGTCTTCCCCTCTTCCAAAGGCCTTATCAATCCTCACGCCTTGCCACCTACGTACCGTATGGTATGGTATTTCGTATTTCTCGTACTCGTAAGCKTACTAGTACGAAAACACAATGAGAAGGAAACAGAAACAGTTTTTCATCTTCAAGCAGGGAATGCGCAAATCTCAGAAGAGTTCTCAACCTGGTAACAGCTTGCTATTACAATCATTACGAACACCACACCACCAGCAAACCAACCGATCCGCCACAAAGATAGTATGAATCGGTATCTAATCACCGCCTCCATACAGGCGGCTCTTCTTGCGTGTCTCGCTGCGCTCAGCTTCGAGTCGAATGCCGTTGTTTCTGCCTTCTCCAACACAGCAAKTATTGCGAGACGAAAACGAACCAGCAGCATTGTAGTTAGCTTCGAGCCAGCTATATCGTACTCTGCTACCGCGACACTCTTGAAGTCCTCCTCCGAGGATGCCTCGGCAATCGCAACAGCCGATGACAGCGAAGAAGAAGGAGAAGAAGTGAACTACGAAGTCCCCGAGGACGCCGTTATTAACATCAAACCAAAGGCCATGAAAAGACTGAGAGAACTTCGAGAGAAACAAAAGAATCCCGATTCCTACATGGTCTTACGAATGGGAGTCCGCAACGGTGGGTGTTCAGGTCTCAGCTATGTGATGGATTTCTCTACCGAGGAAGACATACAAGAGGACGACGAGATCGACGATTACCCCGCTGAAATGCTCAAGTGTGTGGTGGATGCCAAGTCGATGCTCTATTTGTATGGACTGGAATTAGACTACTCCGAAGAGCTCATCGGGGGTGGTTTCAAGTTTTTCAACCCAAATGCGGAAGAGAGCTGCGGCTGCGGGTCAAGTTTTGGAGTATAGTAAAAGTACTTATGATGATGCCGAATTTAGAACTTCGCTACTGATTATTCACTTCACGACCTAGGGTTACTTTCGTTGCGGTGAGTGAACTATTCAAAATCTAGCGAAATACAGAGTAGCGCAGAGTGGATTGATTTTCTATTATTAGGAATGTCGTCCCCACAGACATAATTCTAGGAGTAGGCCGGCAATGAAGTATGTATCTATCGTTCCTTCAAGGGATCGTCGGCATGCATCTTCTTCCAAACTCCTATAATGGTTGGTCCTACTCAATCAAGTCTTGTAAAAGATTTGCAATGGCTGTCTTTGCTGCCGTTCTTTCAACTCTTTCTTCTGTCATATTCCCCCCGTTCCTTCGATCACTTCTGTGACTACCGCCGATAAAGATTATTTTATCTGGTGAATGCCCTTCGTCTACGAACAAGTATTGGCTTTCAGATAGAGCACAATGTGCCACACGGTCGGTAGTTTCGATGTCGCTGGGGACCACAGATCTATTTTTTGGGTCACGACCAGAATGTGATGTCTCGGTATCTTTCTGGCACTTCTTGCGCACTGCATTATCTCCCGGTTTCGATTTGCTCGAATTGCGATCAGTTGTAACATAGATTTCACCCCCTCGAGCAACGCGAGTGGAATCGTCTTTTGCTTTTCTACTCTTCTTTTTTCGTCTTCTTCGCTTCTCAGGTGTGCTTTCAACTCTGGGCTGGGCCCTTTCTTTACCATTGCAATTGTCTTCTTTGTCTTGCCTATCTGATGATTTCTTCACTTTGTCGTGTTGCTCACTACCGAGTCGATCGCTATATTTATTGTGTCTAGCGGTAGAATGCCCTGAGCGCAACGGCACACCTCGTTTTTCAGCACCGTCATCAAATCTCGTTTTTCCTTGATCTTGTGAATTGTCTTCTATTTTACTTACTTGTTCAAAACACTTGCTCAGAATGTCCATATAATTTGGATTATCGTTTGCGTCCTGTTGGCTTCCCCCTCCTTGACCTTGAGTAAGATTGCTTTCCTCTTTGTTGACATTATCGTTGTCAACCAAGTTGATGGTGTGCTGACTTCTTCGAGAATCCTTTTCTGGTTCTCCCTGAACCATGTAGCTGCTTCTGTGAGAATCGATTTGGAAACTATTCACGGATAAGCTGGCAGCATGCAGACTTCTACGAGAACTATTCCGTAGCTCTCTCTGAGCGGCGTGCCCAGTGCTGTTTGAATGCTTTCGCAAACGTTTCTCGGTTGAGTTGGTAGTATACCGACTTCTTCGKGAACTATTTCCTGGCTCTTTCCGATCGGTTCGCCCACTTCTGTGAGAGTCGTTTCTGACACTACGCTCGGATGAGCGTGCAGTGTTGCGACTTCTTCGGGAATCATTTCTAGACTCTTTCTTTTGCCGACCATCAGGTGAATATGCAGTGCGCCCGCTTCTACGAGAGGTATTCCTTGGACCATCATAGTCTGAGCGATCGGTGTGCTGGGTTCTGCGACTTTCGTTTCTGTCATCCCTCTCTAGCCTTCTGCCAGGTGAGCTGGCAGGTTGCTCAAACTTAGAAGAATTATTTCTGTGCACCTTCTTCAGACTCTGTTTTCTAGATCGCTCCCTTGTATGAGCAAAATACCCTCTATGCAATTCGATCTTTGTGGTATTGCGACCATCGTGATAAGATCTGCTGCCCGTGAACGCATCGGAGGTGCTTCTACTTTTGTAAGGCCTAGCGCTTTGAGACTTCCTTAGATCTGATTCTACTGAAGGTTCAATCCCGTTTGACTCATTGCTGCCCCACGCAATGGAGTAAAGACGACGTTCCCCACTATCGGTGTTGAAGTTGGATATGTCTCTGTAAGAGCATACATTCTCTGACACCCTATTTTTGTCCTCGTAAATTTCGCTTTCGTCAGCGAAGGCAGTTTCATGCGTTGAATTTGTTTGTTGAAGTACGACACCACCACGAGCTTCCGCTCCATATGTTGCAGAAATCTCGTTTTTCGGAAGGTCTTGTCTGGAAGCATTTTTTGAATGGTGTCGACTACGACGACTTCTTTGGCGCCTTCTGCTTGACTCTCGATTCAATTCTTCAATGTGACGCCGGAGGCCATTGTTCTCCCTGTCTTTTTTTGTCAGCTGTTGGCGGAGATCACCGATTACTTTGTTTCTTTCAGAAATGACGCTCAAGGCATCCATCAGGTAATCTTCCAAGTCCGCTAAGGAGTCACGAGAGATTGGAGCTATACCTTTTCTTCGAGCACTCTGCCCTCTGGAAGTAGAGTGTTCGTTCTTCGTTCGTTTCACGGGGGTCAAATGATCACCCTTGTAGTTGATAAGGCTTATATCATAAGCAAAGTCCGGTTTTCCTCTGGTGGTATCATTTGCTGCCGGCTCCCGCTTAAGCAATTCGTCCAATTCAGACTCAACTGAGCGGCATTTGCTAAAACTGTGATCGATACTGCTATCGAATAGAACAATTTCCTTGATCGGAGGATCGTCGATCCCGTTACTAGAATCGGTTGTGGAATTAGATAGTTTAGACAGGTCGTCTTCATGCGTGCTCGACCGCACCCTAGGAATTTCAACATCGTGCGTTTCTTTTTCCTGACTTCTGGTAGCAATACCGAACGTGCTCTGATTTTCGCGATGTGTAAAACCTAGTACCGAATCCAAGTCTTGCCCAGGAGACAGAGTATTCTTTTGGTTGTGTTGGGGTTTGTCATCTGAAATACTATCCAATGCTACGGCAAATGCCCTTGAGCTTCTCTCGCTAGTGGTTCTTTGGCTGTGGCAGTTCTTGTGACCCGATTTGTCATCTGAATCACTCAAACCTCTTTGAATACGGCGTTCACTGTTTGCTACTTTCTCGTCTAATTGCTTTCGCCTTCTTTGGCTGAAACGCATCTTGAGATCTGATTTTTCGTCCAATACCCTAAAACTTCGTTGGCTAGTGTGTCCTGAATTGTTATCGAACTCTGTCGAACTTTTTTCTTTATGGCGTCGTTTATGATTCGATCTACCATCCAGCCTCCTAGAACCGCTATGGCTACTGTGATTATTGTACCCCGATATATCATCCAACTCCCTGGAACTCCTCTGCTTAAATGAGTGACTGTGGTCACCCAAACCCTTCGAACTTTTTTGACGACTGTGGTCATTGTATCCTGATGAATCATCCAACTCCTTCGAACTTCTTTGTTTGTCTCGGCGTCTATGCCCCGATTTATTGGATGTTCTCAAACTCCTTTGACTATCAGCTCCCCGACTTTTTCCGCGATGACGATGCCTTCCATGGGATGAATCGAAATACCCTGCAATCCGTTGTTTATATTGGCTATTCTTGTGAAGTCCCACACTGTATTCTTTTTGTAGGACCGGTGGATTTAACGGACTGGTGATGATTCCCCCTATACTTGGACCAGTACCGACTGTCGAGATATCTGAGATTGGCTCGTTTTTTTGGTTCTTCAGGATTCGTCCGATCTCAGTATCAAACAAAGTTTCCATCGAATCATTTTTGTTGTCATCGCTTGAAGCCAGTAATCTTTCGTCTCTGCGTCCTTCAAGTCCATGCTTAGTCTCGTCGAACAAGGCGGCAGCCGCAAATATTTGACTAGACCTTCGACGACTAAAGGCGGAAACCAACATGACCATTGTATCAGGGACGCTCTGGTCGGGAGGATTGTGGTTAGAATCATCCAAATAAAATCCTGGATATTCACTCCCCGCGATATTTGATGCAATATTTGTTAAATTGTTTCTTTCCGTTTCTCTATGATTTTTTTCATTTGTCTCAGCGTCATTGATAACGCCCTTAAAACGAAGTGTTTCTAAGGCTGTCGCGTCGAGCTGGTCCAACTGTAGCTCGAGGGATTGATTTGGATTCAAGTCCATGATACGGGTGGGGTAGCCATCGATTGAAACATTGTGCTTGACGGCTTCAAGTGGCACACCAAATTGGAACATTTTGAAGTAGTAGCAAAACACAGGATGATATTTTATAGCAAAGCGATCCTCCCAGGAACGAACCTGGAGCACTCGAGAGCGCGCACACTCAACCCAGTCGTTCGGGGTCAACGAGCCGCAATTATCGTCTCCACAAAACTCGTCTCCGCTCGTTTCGCTTTCGTTATCTGTGTTGTCACTGCTATGATTGCTCCGTTTTCGCATCATAGATTTGTAGTTGGATCGAATTTCATTATTGTGGTGGCTTGATTTCATCCCCAAAATGTCCGTCCGTTTCCTCCACTCCTTGCGGTCGGATTGAAGGTTCTGTACTTGCTTGATAACGTTGATCATTTTTGGGCTATGTCGAAGAAGCTCGGCACCGCGGTCCGAAGCCTGGCATGCTTCCGATCGGCAAATCATACATGTTTTGACGAATCTTCCTCGCTTCTCTTTTATCGTCTTGAAAATTGATTCGTATTGAGGAATTTCATAAATGTATTGATTCGGGTGGTGAATGCACATCCCTAAGTGGTCCATGCCAAGGGTTTTGCATATAAAGGCTTCCTGTGTAACCACGTCCTGGAGGTGTCGAAGCCTTCGGTGACGACTTTCTTCCTTGAGTTTGGAGGCTTCAGAGATAGAGAGTGACAATTCTTTTGGACTTATGCGTCCATTGCCCGTGGCGTCGACATGAGCATTATTGTTGTAACTTTCTTTTGGTCCCGCTGCAAATGCCTTGGCAAGGTATATCTGGCGAAAGGTGTCCCGCACAAAATCCCAGTTTTTGTTGCGTTTACGTTTCCTTCGCGTCGCCATAGTATCAATGTGTATGTTGGCATGGATTTGAATTGAACCACTACTTGTCTGTCGATAGAATGATTCGTCGTGTTTTCTCCTTCGTGACGACGAGGTTTGGCAAAGTTCACCCTCGCTTCCTCTAAATTTCCATTTAACAACTCCAATATCTCCCTGTCATACCAWCTAATAACTCTTCATAATTCTAGTGATTATGTCTTGTTTACAATAGTTTCTATGCACRCTGTTATAAATTGTCGGGACGTTTTATCGTCAACTTTTAATCAGTGCCTTACAACCGATTACAAACCTGAAACGCCGTTACAGTCGTTTTCGGTTCGTCATGTGAGGTACTGTTTACAGTGCTGTATTATTTTTTAGACTTTTTTTAGAACCGGCCGAGCCTTCCTCGATTTGGAACATGCGTTGAGGCCCTATCGCCAAGAATAATACTTCGGGCTATAGTATTTAAGCAGTTCATTTTGTTATGGTTGCCAAGACATTAATGTCTTGCCCAAATGTGATTTTTTGGTTTCTGATCGGGGGTTAGCTTTCCGTACGAAAGTAAGTTTATATTTAATTTTACAACAGCCTTCGAAAAAAGTTACAGTTTAAATTATTTTCATGCTGAAAGTTCCAGTTCTCGTTTTAAGGACCTACGGTACGTATCCACCATGTATTCAAAGTGTCATGAAATGCATTACTTTCTCATCTTTCTTGGCAAAAGCTCCTCACCAAACAAAATTTAGTATCATTACGCTACATTGAAGAGAAGAAGGATGCATATTCGAAGCACAACTCAACATACTAATTTCAAACAATTAAACACAATTTACCGGACAATACTATTGCCTTAGACTATGCAAGGTAGTACTTCGCGGTATAATCTACGATGTATATAGCTAGCTGGCTTCAAACTTGCATTTTAACTACATTCGTCCACACCCTTTTGCGCAGCTTCTACATGCACGTGCTCCGGTCCAAAGTGGGTTTTCCATATATCTCGTGCTGCCTGAAATTCGGTTTTGGCCTCCTCAATTGACCCCTGGGATTGAAGCATAAGGGCGATGTTAAACTTACAGGAACCAACGTGGGGATGTTCCGAACCCAAGGATTTTTCGAACGCTTCGCACGCCGAGCGGTACTTTTCCAATGCCTCGGCTTCCCGACCTGGTAAGTGACTCAGGACTAATCCCATATTGTTGAAGGAACTTGCCACGTCGGGGTGATGCGAGGTTCCCAGGGCTGTTTCGAGCAATTCGTGTGCTATTTGGTACTCTCCTAAGGCCTTCTCCCATTGTTCTTGTGCCTTGTAAACATTCCCAATGCTCCCAATTGTTGTTGCAAGGTTTGGATGTCTAGGTCCATAGAGATTGGACAAAATTTGAAGCCCCTCCTGGTGGTGTTCCAAAGCCTTCTCCGCTTCTCCCATTTTTAGATACGTCAAGCCAACGTTATTCCACGAGGCAGCCGCATCTGGGTGATTTGGTTCTTTGCCACGCAAGATATCTAGAGCCTTCTGGTAGATCTCCAAGGCATCAGAATATTTGCCTGTCTCATAGTGTACAGCACCAATGTTGTTGTGGCTCGTCGCTGTCATCGGCGAGTCGGGTCCGTGGATCTGTTGTTGAATGGCCAATGCGGCTTCGTATTGTTCCATGGCGGCTTCAAAATTGGCCATTTCGGCGTAAAGTTGACCCAAAGTTGTATGGCTAACTGCTACATCAGAAGCAATAGGTGGACCACTAGTATTCGCATTCTGTTCGTTATCATCATGTGAAGTTTGTATTTGTTGTTGTTTGTGTTGCTCTTGGCGAATGTTCAGGGCCTTGAGAAGTTTTTCTTGCGCCGTGTTGTAATCTCCTAAATGCTTCCAAGCAACACCAAGATTATGATAGGTTCCAGCTGTATCTGGGTCTAGTTCGCCTTTGTTTTTAAGGTGAATATTGAGAGCTTTTTCGTACTCTCGAATGGCCCTGGCAAAATCGTTGGTCTGATAGTGCAAGGCGCCGATGTTGTTGTAGCTGGATGCAACGACGGGATGGTCATCTCCCAACGCTTTTTCCTGAATTTCGACGGCTTGCAACATATATTTTAACGAATTTTCGAAATCTCCCGCAGTTCGGTACAAGGCGCCCAGATGGATGCAAGTAGCTGCAACCTGAGGATGGTCGCTGCCCAGAGCTTCTTGGCGACACTCCAATGCCTTGTGTAGATGCTGTAGAGTCAATTCAAGATCCCCCAACTTGTAAAGTACAACCCCTATTTGAGTGTGCACCTTAGAGAGTTCAGCGAGATCATCTTTTTGTAGCACCAGCAAGCGTTCATAAAGTGGTAACGTCTGGCTCTGTAGTGGGCCAGGAATATGCTGCACGATTGTTTGAAGACGGAACGGGTCTTCGATTTTCAACAAAGTATCCATATAATCTTTAGGCAGTTTCGGTTGACCCTCTTGGGAACCCAGAATCTTTTGCAGCTGCTCCTCCAATACCTTCATATCGGCTTGAAAATCTGCGTCGTCAATGTCCATTAAACAATCTCCAATCGAAATTGGGTCCCGGATCTGGTGAAAGACTTCCATTATTCTACCTGTTTTTGGTGCATAGACCGACAACTCTTCTACATCATAATTATCGCTTCTCGTCTCGTCCTCCTTGATGGTGTCGCTTCCAATTGTCTCTATCCTCGGAGAGAGTATAACGGTAGCCACCACATCCCCTGCGCGTACCATAGAATTCACGGGCAAGATCTGAGTCAAAATTCCAGATGTCACATCTTCGCTTCCCAACGATAAAATTTCGAGTTTCGCCATCATCGAAACTGGTGTACTTCGGCGAAGAAATGAAAACTGTTTACGGCTTGGATCATGGGCGATGATAGAAGAGGATGGGRAAGACGACAGATGCGGTTGCTTTTGTTGCCGCTCCACAAGAAGGGACATCGGCCGTAATCCATTATTACATGTCCGTCTTGCCAGTATAGCACTGCATGCAGTTAATTTTTGGGAAGCAGAAATCATTGACTTCATTTTTTGGGAAGCTGTGGTTCTCTACAGTGATAGTATCTTCCCCATAGAATGCTGGATAGCTATGGGTAATTGATGTTGGTCGTAGTCGCTGTTGCAATCGCATCTCGCACCGTAAYGAAGAACGATCTGTAATCCATGTGAACCAGAAAGAAAACGGAAGATTAGAACGCTAATTTTTCTGTCGAAGGAACGAGTGACGGACAGGCGTTTCTTTACGACTAAATCAAAATCCGCGCATCCCCCTTTTATCATGGAAGTCGAGAAGAAAAAAAAATACTAGAATAGTTTTTTCTCGACTGAAATTGTTGATGGAAAGGGGAGTCTGAGGGGGTAGAAAACCTAAAAATCAGGTATGAAGTTTTTTTAACGTAGACTGTAGTACAAAATGAATGGCTGTTTTTAGGCTCTATAAACTGTTTCTTCCAGAAACTATACAGAGCCAATAGTCGCCGTTTCTTTGAAAGATAACAGTTTCTTCCACAAAATACATTTCATGCCACGACTGGATGATGACAGTTTGACTTCCACTTGAAGCGAACCGCAAAAGACCTAATTATGAAAGGCTTTGGGGGACCATGGTGGTTCTTGGTGTATTCCCTCTGTGGATATTTTGTTTCATTGTTGTTAGTCAAGATTGGTGGTGTGCTCAAATATATGGTGGTTGTCATGTGGTTTGGTACATGCGAAAGGGATGCTGCATGGGCAAAGTTTTTGTACTATGCCACATTGTTCCTGCTGGTGACATGAAGAGGTTGGATCATGGTTGTGTTTTGTAGACTAAGCTCTGCTAGGAACAAGATGTGTATCCTATTCCTCAGGTACCATGGATCATGTGAAGAGCTGTGTCAGATCCTCTTGTTCTTGTTCTTGTTCTTGTTCTTGTTCTTGTTCNTCTTGTTCTTGTTCTTGTTCTTGTTCTTGTTCTTGTTCCATTCCAGTGATGCATCTTCCATTGAGGTGGCTTTCAAAGTGATTGTCTACTTTCTTGCTGTTTGTGTTGTCATCATGTTTGACTTWATTGTTTTTCAATTTGGTTGGCAGTGATGAGGGATATTTTTGTGCAACGTGCATTTGATCGCCAAACCRGCAAATTTGGTCCCTGATGTTCTTATGGCCATATGTGTGGCAACATTCATACTGAACCTTGTTTTTATATTCAAAATTGTTCTTGCAAGTGTTGGTTGTGTCGACCTTTCTTGTAATGATTGGTTGGTATTGGTTCTTGGGTGTTTGCTGGTGTAATGTTTGGGTGATCCATAATTAAGGTTGTGAGCAATGTTAGTTGCAAATGGTCTGGAACAGGCTTGTGTTTGAAGTTTGGGGTTACTTGTCCATGATTATCAAGTTGTACCAGTAGGCAACATCCTGCTGTATAGTTGAAGTGTGTCATCATTGCTTGGTATCATACCAGTCCATAACTTTGTTCAAATTCTGTGCAGATGTAATTGTGGCTCAGGTGGCTGTTCTTCACGTGGTCCTGGGGCTTTCCAACATATGTACCAGGGTCATCCTGTGCTGTCCGTTCTAGGCCCCAGCTATTTTTTGGTTGGCTCAAGAAGGTAATCCAGAGAGTGACGCATGAGGCAGGGCATATAGTGCTTCATAGTCTTGTCTTTGTTGTGTACAGGGGGATAAGAGACCATGGAGGGTGACCACTTGGAAGGAGTCAAGAGATCCTTTGGTAGATGTAGGCTCCTATCTTCTCAATATTTTCCTGAGTTTCCCCATGGTTTGGTGGGATTCATGTTCCAAGGTCAGGTAGGCCATCCAGCAGTGCTACTAGGAGAAGGCGTTCCAGCTGCATTATTCCATACAGTTCATTATATATTGCTGTGAATTCAGTAGAGGTGAGGTAGTGGCTGGTGATTGGGATTAATTTATTGAATTTCTCCATCTGTTGCCAACAGACTGTTGTGTAGGTGAGTTATTGTTATGCATGTATTTTGTTTTTGTTGTTGGTTCTTTCTTGATGGATATTTACTGTTGTTGGTGCTAATGATGCTGCCTTGTACTTGGTGACTAATTAGTTTTTTCAGTGTTGGTGATTGAGTTACATATGTATGGATGGAGGTATCAATGTTTGTTCAAAAATCTTTTGAGGTGACAATGGTGTTGAGTGAGGAGGCTATTTTGGTTTTTATGGTGTCTTCCACAGAGGGATCTGTCAATAGGTGTTCCTTGATAGATCTTCTGATATCAGTTTCTGTTATGCTTGGTTACTGCAATGCTTTCCTGGGCAGCTGAGGCTGTTTGATCCATCTCCAGTGTGATGTCTTGTTCATGACTGGTGAGTTTTGACTATTCTTTGTTTTTGCCAGGCCGTTGTGGAGGTCCTTAATGGTGTCTGCAGCTTGAAATTGTGGAGGTCCTTAATGGTGTCTGCAGCTTGAAAKGTTACTTCTCATTTTGCTTGTAAGATGACTGTTTCTGTGTTGGTGCCATTTTGGTTGTTTTGGTGGTAGCTGGTGTGTTGTTTTAATGTAGCTATCACAGGTTTGGTGATGTTGGTGTCAATATTCTTGCTGTGTTGACACCAGTGTTTGAAGAATCTGTACCGTAGGGTTCTACATGGTTTCAGTATGGGGGGTTCTCTTTCGAAATTGTCTGATTCGGGGCTTGCTAAGTGCTGCTGCTAAAGGTCCTGGTGCATTCTTCCTTGGCCAGGTTGAAAGCTTCTTCTTATGTCTTTGTTATGTTGCTGATGATGGTGATGAGCTGTGGTATGTTATTGTTGCTCATAACCTGTGAATACTGATAGACTCCTTAGTGTACAATAATACATGGTTTACAGTAAAGAGTGAGTTGAGTGGTTGTGCCTAGTATTGCTGTCACTTACCATTCACTCACTATTCACTCGTGATTTAAGTGATTTGCTACGTGGTATTGCCTCACAACCGTACGTACCACACTTCCAAAAAGTACGAGTAACGCAAAACAATGAAATAATGAAAGGAATTGCCAGTTTCCAAACCCTGGCAAAACAATGACAATGCTGCGGCATGACTTCAAAGGAAAAATTGACGACGAACATAGTGCATCCAGAAGTCCTACAAAATGGCGGTGACGAGAGAATAGATACGCTGTTGTTCGACTTGGACGGAACACTGTACGACCATGCATGCGGGTACGAAGAAGAGATTCATTCAAATATTTTCAAATTCATGGTCGAAACGGAGGGAGGAAAATTCGATGCTATCACCAATTTAGAAGAAGCCCATAAAGTGTGGCAACCCATCTTTGAAAAATATAACTTAACCAAACGGGGTCTCATTGGAGAGGGATATGAATTTGACTCAAAACATTACGACGAATACATACGAAAAGGAGCCGACAAATATTTCTCAAAAGACGACGCACTGCGGTCGTTTTTGGAATCCTTTCCTTCAAGAATGAAAAAAATTGTTTTTACTAATGCACCCGAGTCCTCGGCGAACGAAATACTAACCTTATTGGGCGTTCTTGATCTGTTCGATGCCGTTCTGGGGACTGATTTTCTCGAATCCAAGGTGTGCAAACCAGAACCCGAAGCGTTTACGAGAGTTTTAAGACATTTGTTTCCGGAGGACAATGAGAACACATGCTTGTCCTCATTTGCCGTCCGCAATCGCAGCATCTGTTATTTTGAAGATTCCTTCAAGAATCTTCAAGCTGGAAAAAAGCTGGGATTCCGAACCGTCTTCATCGCGTCGGAAACCCTACAAAACGAAGGAAAATCAACTCGAGAGCTTGAGGCGGAGAAATTCGATGCAATACTCCAGAAACGTGTTAACATGTCTCTGCGGTTGCAATTGCCGCAGTTGTGGGAGGATTTGTAAATAGCTGGTTTTTGTAATTTCTTACAAGGTTTAATTAATAGACTTTACGCGTAGCATTCTTTGCTAGTACCACCTATAAATCGCCAGCAACAGCATCTCTTTCGTATGACAAGCTGTAGCGGCGGAAATTCATTGACAACCTTTTTGATCTTTTTATTTAGGCATCATAGTCGGCACTTGACCAGCCATTTCCCCTTGATGCACAGTGACACCAATAGTACAGAAGGCAAACAACAACATATCTAAGTCCCACAATTCAAAATAGAAAAATTACCACCTTGTCAGAAACACTCATAGTGGGTAACACCCTCCCTTCCTAGTGCTAATAGTGTTGAACCTGTTCACTGCAACAGAAGGAGGATGGACCAAGAAACCAGCAACACAACCAATGTGACAAGTATATATATATATATATATATATATATATATATATATATATATCATATATGTATGGTTACGGAGGCACATGAGTGACATGGCAGAAGATAAGCGAGTGACGGAAGGATGAGTGATCCGGCAGACTTATTTGTCACACAAACCAGATTGGGCGTAATTTGTATCTTGTGTGGTTGGAACCCTCAAATTTTTTGGTTCTACCTTAAGATTTTTATTGAAGAATTAATATATCAAACTTCTATTTTTATTCTGTTTTCCAAGAAAATGTTTTCTTGATTTGGCACTCACTTAACCTCAGTCTCACCCAACCCAGTTTGCATGCCTGAAAATATGTACTTTTGGAACTGATAGCATTTTGCTTTTCCTCATTGTTACATTCCTAATTGTTTCTGTACCCAAATAACTCTTCTCTCCAATGTGTTCATAATTAACATGGCTCTGCCAAGCTCAAGGTTTTCTGTTAGAACTGTCATGAGTCCTGGGATCAGAGGACCCAGTGCCCAATATTCTATACCACCAAAAGGAACCAAAAAAACAGGATCTGACCACCAAGAGTTGTATTTACTTTGACTATTAAACTCTTTGTGGGGACAGAGTCAATGATTTCAGCTCTTCTCTTAACAAACTTACAAAGGACAAGGAGGATGTTAGTAGACCATTTGCTTAACCAATACCAATCACAGACCCACAAAAAAAATGCCAGAAAATCTGAAGTAGTGCAAGCCCTCAAGAGAAAGGAATGTAACACCAACACATCAGACAATAATACTGACATCAATGCCAACGAATGTCCATGGAACAAGATGATGAAAAAACACCCAATGGAAATAGAAGCGCAGGTTGTGGCATCCTTCAGAATTCACTGAGTTAACTGCTCCAGAAGGCTTATCCCTTGGACAACATTGTCAAAACATCTCCCATCATTGCATCCAACACGGAAATSCTTTTCACAAGCTTGACTTTGGCGTGAATTTGCACAACATTCACCTTGCTTCCCCAGGGGAGAGGCCTCATATGGATCAGTTAGGCTGTGCCAAAAGAGCAGCAGAAACCTTTGGTGATGTGTTTCTAGGAACATCAAAGAAGCTCCTGGACAGTATGGAAGCAATAGGCAGCCATTACGGCTCATCACTTTGGAGGCAGTCAGATGGTCGACTTTCCCTGAACTCATTTTTCTGAGTGGGCAACCACTTCAGCAGCATGATAGGAAGGAAGGTCACAAGTTACTCAGGTTTTGTCAAGACAAAGACAAGATTGAAAAGCATATATGCGCACTAGAACTTATATTGGGCATGGAAGAGTTCCTGAAATGGTCCAGTACCCCACAATGTTTTTGGTATTGAGTCCTTAGTTGGCAAAGGCTACTAGCCAATGAAGATGCCCACAACCAAAATTTGGAAGATGGTTATAGGTACCCAAAAGGAATGTTTGGTTCATGAAATAAGGTGTATTTGAAAGTGTATTAAATAGAAATTATAATATCTAAAGTGCCACAATGTTTGGAAGATGTCAAGTGCTTTTGACATCTTGTGTCATTGTGGATTCTGGTACACAGTCCACAGGCTTCTGATCTAGTGACACTTCATATCACAATCATAAAGATACATAATGCTCAGTACTCTCATACCTCATGTAGGTATGTATGTATGTATGTATGCATGTATGCATATGGGAAGGTTGCATGTATGCATGAGGGTATGAGGGTATGTATGCATTTTCTTTGTGCTGGTGCTATCTTGGATCTAGACAAGATGGTTGTTCACTTCATCAACAACATCTAGAAKAGTTGCAAACTACCTGAGTAGATTCTGTATTGCGTTCCACTACACGACAACTAATGATGGCATCATTAAATTAACAACGGGAACCTCTTTCTTAGTAGTGCGGCAATCACTTGCTATGATATTTGTAGTATTAGTAGTACTAGTACCATCATTGTACTTTGTAGATGACAAAATTCTGTGGTGACGATATCCTCCTCAGATATGTTGCCCATCACATAGTACCGTACATACGTGGTGGTACATGGTGGTTGCATACTAGTAGTAGTTACATTTCTTTGTGTACAAAGTAGTACTTGGGTAGGGGACATAAATTTAATAGGTGTGTGCAATACCTGTAGGGACACCCAGCCATTGTTTTGCAGGAGGAGAGAGAAAAGTTYTAATTCCATCCTTGGTACAAATAAGAAAAATTCAGCTCCAGCAAGAACAAGAAGTATTATTTTTAAAAAAATCTTAATATTATATTTAACCTCGTGAACTAGAAGAGGCACTATATGGCCAGAACCATAGCTTTCCTTAGAAAGAATGCTTCTAGCTGAGGCGCGACCATGTTCTATGCGCACTGATAGGCCAATGACAGCCCAAGGCTAGACTCAGAGGACATAAAAGCAATTGGTTCACAGTTTGAATGGATGAGAACCATGCCATTATCATTTCAAAGGGCACTACCATGCCTGTATGTTGGGGGTGCTCAAGCCCCAACCTATAGGCAAGTTGTCACAAGCAGTGATCAAGGAAATGTGTGTCACGCACACTGCCAAGCCAATTAAGGCAAGTCTCACCCCAGTGGGTGAGGACACATGGAGTCAAAAAGAAAAAATAAAAAAAAAATAAAAAAAKAAAAAAGGAAACGTCACACTTCTTTCACCAAATTACAGCTGAGCCTGCCCAAAGGAGCAGCTGTTGGAGCATCTTCTTGAAGAAGAAACTGGAAATTAATCAATTCTGTCACCGCTAGTCACGGGGTTAAACACATGGGGTGTTGCTGTTCCCGTCCACCACATAAGACAGGAACAACAACAATCATGACCGGAAGCACTGGGGCTTTTGGTCCTCCTTGAGAACTGGGGATGGATCCAGCTGAGGCAATTGCACTCAACTGGAGAAACAGGACCAGGGTTGATACTGAGAGAGTATCGGCTGGGGKGGTCTTGGTTGAATACTGGGGGCTGGGGTTGGTGTTATTGCATTCCGGCATGAATGTTGGAACCAACAACAACCTGACCGGAAAACTCTTCTGGTCCATAAAATACTGGAACTGCATGGAGATGCTGGGGAATCTTCTTTAAAACTGAGTATGTGAGTATGTGTAGCATATTCTCCAGGTGTTGTGCTTCAAAGGATTGGTCTTGGTTGAATACTGCTGGGGGATGGGGTTGTTGTTGTTGCTATCCGGCATGAATGCCGGAAATAACTTCAATGCCGGAAGATACTTCCAGAGGAACAAGAAAGGATGGATCCAGCTGGGGCAAACTACCACCACCAGCTGGGGGGTATTGATATACTTGGAATAGTCTTGTTTACATTGCTTGGTTGCCTCTTGAATGGAGCCAGGGAGGTGGACTTTGAATTAAGTATTTTTAAAACTCATTTTATTGCTTTCAAGATGCATCTTTCGTGGTGCGTTTTTGGCGTCGTGTCAACCAGATAGCTCGGACGGTGCCTCAAGAGTTCTTCTGAATCTTGCTTTCGTGCGATTTTGTACTTCTCAGTCTTTTTCTGGGTTTTCAGTGGAGATTGTTCTTGTCGGAGAAGTTCGTAGACGTCACCATGGTGGGTTTGGATGCCAGAAGGTGCTGGTCAAGTAGGAACTACGTAGGAATCAGTAGGGATTCTAGGTGAGAATTCTCAGAACCAAAGTGTAATTTCGCACGTTTGAAAACATTCGATATGAAAGAAATTAAGAAGAAGTATTATTTTAGTTCTCTTTTTACTGCATAACACAACTAGTAGTAAAACTATCCAACCTTTGTGCACTATGAACTTCATCAAAAATACTTCTATAATGATGATGTTTGAATACACTGTACTATATACCAGTGTTTACTACGGATATCATAACAAGTGATCGCCACACTAAGAAATTGGTTCCCATTGTTATTTTAATGATGCCATCTGCACGAGATTACGTGTACTCTTAGTAGGTGTTAAGTGTGTATGAAAATTGAGATTATAAGATTAGATATAAGATTAAGATTCTCGCGCTCAGACTTGAGCTTTCAGTAGATCTGATTAGATCCTGTGTAGCTCTCGGTACTAAATCTACACAGAGTTCTKATTATTCTGATCTACTGACATCTTTGTTCCGTGCGAGGTATTCTATTTCTGATATCGTAGACCTCTTACGATCCTCGGACCTCTTACGTGTTCAGTGTTTGGTCCTCTTATGATGCATCCTATGATACATACATAGGAAGCATACCTTAYGATAGGTACGTAGGAATGGTATGATCCTTCATTTATTTCTTCGGAGCTTCGTATTGTATACGTACGTACGGTATCCGTTGC